AGAGATAGAGGCAGCGTGAGCAGGGGAGGGTCAGAGAGAGAGAGGGAGTCACAGAATCCAAAACAGACTCCAGGCTCTGAGCTGCAGTCAGCACAGAGCCCGACATGGGGCTGGAACCCACAAACCGTGAGATCATGACCTGAGCCGAAGTTGGACGCTTAACCGACTGAGCCACCCAGGCACCCCCCCCTTTACCTATTTTTAATTGGTTGTCTTTTTATTGTTGAATTGAAAGAGTAATTAATATATTCTGGATACTAGACCCTCATGAAATATATGATTTGTAAATATTTTCTTCTTTTCGCTAGTGATTATGTCCAGTTTTTCTCCTTTGGTTTTAGGTGTCATATCTAAGAAGCGATTGCCTAATTCAAGGTCGCGAATCTTTGCACAATGTTTTTTTCTAAGAGTTTTATGGTTTTAGCTCTACAGTTTGGTCTTTGATCTGTTTTGAGTTCTTTTTTATGTATGGTGTGAGGTAGGAGTCCAACTTTATTCTTTCGCATGTGAATACCCAGTTGCCTCAGCAACATTTGTTGAAATGATTATTCTTTTCTCATTGAATTATCTTGGTACCTTATTGAAAACCAAAGGACCATAGATGTATGCATTTGTTTTGGGGCTCTCAATTCTGTTTATTTGATCTATGTTTATCTTCATGCCACTTCCATGCTGTCTTAATTACAATTGCTTTGTAGCACGTTTTGATAATGGAAAGTGTGAATCTTGCAACTGTATTCTTTTTCAAGATTGTTTTGGCTCATGCAGGCTCCATGTTAATATTTAGTCTTCCAGTCCGTGCACAGAAGAGTTCTTTCCATTTACTTAAGTTGCTTTTAATGTCTTTAAATATTTTATAGTTTTCACTGTATAAGTTTTGCATGTCTTTTGTTAAATTTATTTCTAAATATTTTATTCATTTTGCTGCTATTATAGATTAAATTGTTTTTCAAATTTCATTTTGTATTGTTCGTTGCTAGTGCCCTAATTTACATTTTTTTTTAGATTTTATTTATTTACTTATTTATTTTTAAGCAATCTCTACACCCACCTTGGGGCTTGAACTCACAACCCCAGGATCCAGAGTCTCATGCTCCATGGACTGAGCTAGCCAGTCACCCTGATTTACTTTAAAAAAAAAAAAAAAAAAGTGATAAAATGCACATAGGTTAAAATTTACCAAGTTAATCATCTAAGTGTACAGTTCAGTGGTATTAAGTAGGTTCAGTACATTCACATTATTGTGCAACAGTTCACAAGAAGTTCCTTTCATCTTGGCTGAATTACTTTTAATTTGAAAAATTTACATGGACTCTTCACTCTTCACTTAAGCTATGTTGTCTTACAGTTGTACCTCTCCTGAGCCTGTATGTTGAAATTTCCTGGACAGAGTAGGTGATGTGGATAGTTATTTTGTAACTTATCAAATATGTTGATATTTTTTTCTTTTCATATCTGTGCACTTTGTGTGTGTGTGTGTGTGTGTGTGTGTGTGTGTGTGTGTGTGTGTATTGGAGACAAAAACTGAAGGCGCTGTATTAGTTAGCTTAGCTTTTGTGATCCTGAGTCAGTTCCGTAAAAGGATGACATTGGGCATTAAGAGAGAGCTCGTTTATTGAAACACAGGAGTGGCCAGAAGGAACTGAACCTGTTGCCTGTACTTTCGGGGTATTAACGGGATGTACAGTCGGTTTGGATTCCTCACAAGGACCACAATTAAAGCAGGAACAGGATCCGGTGCAATACAGAGTGGCAGTGAATTGTTACTTTTGGCATTTTGACTTTGGTTTGTTGCCACCCTACAAAAGAAAGGTCTGTCCACGGCTTCAGAGAACTGCCTCCACCCCAGTGTTGTATATGCTATAAATACTCTCTTCAGGAGCTCTGAGATATGAAGTTAACATTTGCTAAGACGGATTTTTACATGCTCCATTTTTAGCCTGAAAGATGTGAAACTCTATTTGGCAAACCATCATCCAAATAAAGTTATATAAAAAAATGAATTTCTTAGGTTCATTTCGTGGACTAATTTTATTCAGCTCTTGATTACATTTCCTGTGTATAGAGCATGTTTTACACTTGGTAACTGACTCTCATTTAAAGAGAATGAATGGCCAAATTAAATGAATGTCCTCCAGTTTTCAAGTGCATGCATTTCTGATTGGTTTTGTTTGCCTTATTCAATAGAGAGAATAATTCTTTGAGGCCAATTTCATTTTAAGAGGGTAAGTTCAGTGATTTTTCATAATTTAGAATATGAAAAATTATGCTCCCTTGTTTTATTTGATGGAAACTCAGAGCTGAAATTTTGGCTTTTTTCTCTCTCTGACTCTGCCCGCTCCTACCCAGAATGTTTTGGACAAGTGTGCTGTGCTGAATTTTATGTAAATAAAATTTTCTTTTTTAATCTTTAAAAAATGGCTATTGTGTCTTTGAGAAGCGATTAAAAAAAGTGGAAGGGGTAGAGATATATATATATTTTTTTAATGTTTATTTTTGAGACAGAGAGAGACAGAGCTTGAGTCAGGGAGGGGCAGTGAGAGAGGGAGACAGAATCCAAAGCAGGGTCCAGGCTCCAAGCTGTCAACACAGAATGCGACATGGGGCTCGAACCCACGAACCGTGAGATCATGACCTGAGCTGAAGTTGGATGCTTAACTGACTGAGCCACCCAGGCGCTCCTAGAAATATATTTTAAAAGGGGTTGTATATTCCTTTGCTGACACTTACAAAGCAATGTAAGAGAGAAGAAAATGCACAAGTGATAGTTGATCTGCAACTGTACTAGGATGGAGATATACCCATATATAAAATAACTGATACATAGATTATCAGTTATTTGGAATTTTGTTAAGTAGGAAGACATTTGTTTATTAATGGTAACTGACGTCCCACAGTTTTTGGGCTATTCGTCAGGTTACAGTATATAGTTTAAATACTTTCCAGTTATTCAAACCTTTTATTTCTTCAGTGCAAATTTATGTTTTATGAAATCAGCGGATGCACTAACAGTATCTCAAATGATATTAAGGGACATTGTACTGAGAATGAACAGCTGTTCTTCTGTCTCCACAGAACAAGAAAAAATGAGTTTAAATTATAGGAGGAGAAATTTTGGTTGGACATAAACATAATTCCCTAATATTAGGGGCATTGAGATATAAATCTTCATGGCAGATATTTATTAAAATAGCAATGCCTCACATTTCCGTAGATACTACGTATCTGCATTGTATTAAGCACTTTACGTACATTATTTATACTTACCAAGTCCTATGAAGTAAACACTATTATTTCTTCCATTTTGTAGATGAAGAAACTGAGGCTCAGATAGGTTAAGTAACTTACTATTAATGCAGGTAATAAGTGAGAGATGCAAGGTTTGAAACCAGACCATCTGACTATAGAGCCTGTATTTTATTTTATTTTTATTTTTTTAAATGTTTTTTTAATGTGTATTTATTTCTGAGAGAAAGACAGAGAGAAAGAGAGAGAGCATGAGTAGGGGAGGGGCAGAAAGAGAGGGAGACACAGAATCTGAAGCAGGCTCCAGGCTCCTATCTGTCAGCACAGAGCCCAACGCAGGGCTCGAACTGTGAGATCATGACCTGAGCCGAAGTCAGACGCTTAACCGACTAAGCCACCCAGGTGCCCCTAGAGCCTGTATTTTAACTACGTGTAATTCGAAGAGGATAAAGTAAGGCTGCCCATTGAGTTGGATACTCCCCATGGGTGGTGAATCAGCTATAGACAGTACTGGAGAGCCGAGAGTAGAAGTAGAAGCAAAGTGGGGCACCTGGGTGGCTCAGTTGGTTAAGCGTCTGAGTTCAGCTCAGGTCATGATCTCGTGATCCATGAGTTTGAGCCCTGCATCTGGATCTGCTGTCTGCACGGAGTGCATTTTGGATGCTCTGTCACCCTCTCTCTGCCCCTTCCCCCACCCCCTCTGTCTGTCTCAAAAATAAATAAACATTAAAAAGATAATATAAGCACAGTGCCACTATCGCGATTTGGGTAAAGAAGTTGTGTAAGTGAATATATGTCCCTGATTTTTTTCACTAGTTCATGAAATCTGTAGAAGGATGGTGTGGTTCACACATGAATTGTTTATGGCAGAATTTTGGAAGTTCAGAATCCTGTTGTGATCACAAAGAAGTTTCTCTATTATACAAAAACCTCAGAATTCAGCAAGAACTAATAAAACCCATATTCATATAAATGGCAAGGACAGTACAAATACAATTAAGGAATAAAGAAAATGGTCTCAGTCTTGTAAGAAATCAAATCAATGCAAATATAAACCATCATATGCTGTGAATTTTTAGTAAATTAGCAAAAATTTATAAAATGTTAATACCCAAAGCTGGTACTCTCATTCATTCCTGATTGCATTTTAAAGTAGTATGTTAGAATAAAATGGCTCAATCAGTAAATAAATCTCTCTCTTTCCTGGCACTAATTCTGTAAATATGAAATGCACATACTTATTTTTCTTATATATATTGAGAAGTATATTTTATTGAGCTAATCTGCAACACAAGAGAAATGCTTTGTATTAAATATTTTCTTTGTTTACCACAGAAGAAAATAATTAACAGCTGCTGAGCAGAAATGCTGATTCAGTGTTTTTCTTCAAAATATTAACTATGAGAGATATATTTTAATTGCTAGCCCATCTCAAGCTTAAATTGCATAATAATTTGTCAGTGATCTCATTGTTTCTTTATAATTCTGTGGTCTGAAGGAACACATGGATCTTATATGTGAGTATTCTGTAGTTTTGCCACTGGCTTATTAACTTCAGAACATAATATAAGTTTGATATTCATTCATTGTTACAGACTCCCTGAGGTTTTGAGAAAGTACTCCTTTCTTCAAAAAATAAGGAATAATGAAATTGCTTTTATTAAAGGTGTGCTTTCATGGTTTTAAAATTTAGTTTGTATGTATTTACTGTATACATTACTGGACAGTAACTACAGTCATAAATTGTTTTACAGGTATTCGCAGTTTTATATGGAAGACAGCTTTTGCCATTATAACATGTTCAACCATCACTTCTTTGACGGGAAGGTAAGAATTATTACCGTCATTCCTTCTTACTGTGGAAGAGCAAATTCAAGAGCACTTCCTTTCTTATTTTCGTAGAGTTCCTCAAGATCAGATTGTGGCCGTCCCACCATTTATTGGTATTTAGTTTTCTCCATCTGCGGAGTGTGTGTTGAGCATCTAGAAGCAATTGTGCTGTTCTTCTTTTTGACATTTCACTGCTTTTCAGATAAAGACCCGCTTTCTTAGCAAGGCCCACACGGCTCCGCCTCAGCCTGCTCTGCTGTGTGTGTTCGTGTCCAGGATGTAGGACTTTCATCTCGGACCGGCTGCCCTTCTAGGGGGCTTTTGCTGATGGTGTTCCCTCTGCCTTCTGGTCTCACTTTGCCTTGTTCACTTCACCTTATCCTTCAGGGCTCAGTTCCAAGTCACATTCTCTAGCCTCCCCTGGCCTCCAGATAAGGTCAAGTTCTCCTTTGTACTTTGATACTATAATTAAATAATCCTGGGGTTAGTTGTTTCATGTCTGCCTCCGTGATAAATTTTATGTGCTGGTTAAGGGGATTTATGGTTTTATTAAACTAATTCTTAAAAATTAGACCGTGTCAAGAGTGAACCCTAATAGGGGCACCTGGGTGACTCAGTTGGTTGAGTGTCCGGCTTCGGTTCAGTTCATGATCTCGCAGCTTGTGGGTTCGAGCCCTGCGTCGGGCTCTGTGCTGACAGCTAGCTCAGAGCCTGGAGCCTGCTTCACATTCTTTGTCTCCCTCTCTCTCTGACCCTTCTCTGCTCATGCTCTGTCTCTCTCTGTCTCAAAAATAAAGTATAAAAAAAAATTAAAAAAAAAAAAAAAAAGAGTGAACCCTAATCTATGAACTCTGGGTGCTAATGATGTGTCACTGTGGGTTCATTAGTTATAGCAAATGTACTACTCTGGTGGGGGGGATGGTGGGGTGGGGGACGCTGTCCATGTGTAGCAGGGGATGGCTTCTGTCAGTGTTAGTAATGTCACCATGAATAAAAAACTTAGCAGAGCTGATACTTGTACTCCTACTTTGAGCTCTCTGCCTGTCTTATTACAAAATAAAAGCTATACCCAGCCAAGTAATCACACCTGACAGGAAGTTGGTCACACTGTTTGAAATTATCAAGACTACTTGAAACACATATCCATATATATATGTATGTGTGTATATCAGTTTTCAAAAATTCTGAACCACGTATACATACATATTGTGTTTTCAGATATTAACTAATGATAGAATGAAAACCAAGCAAAATGAAAACACTAAGCATCCAGGAAATGAATACAAATTCTAAATTGTTGGTTGGGGTTGAAAAATGAGTCTTCTGATTCAGTCTAGCCAAGGATGCACTCCTTCCATGAGACTCGGTCAGCATTGGGATATATATATATTTTTTTTAGCTCTGATAGCCATGAAAACCAAGTATTCAAATAAATAGCAGTTAGAATTAGACATATTGCACAGTTTCCCAGAGCAATTATTTGGTCAATAACCTCCAGGATTTGAGAACCAATTAGATGAGTGTGAAGGAGAGAGAGGAATTGAAAACTCACTTGACAATGATGATGGACTTCTCAACTAGGACAGTGGCAGTGGGAAAAAGAGAGAGGTAGATTCTGTAGGCTTTCACAGATGGAAACCAGAAGACTTGGGGGTAAGTATACTGGGGGAGAGATCTAAGAGGACATGGTGGTCCGGCCTGGATTTTTATTTCATTCTGCCAAACAGAGGGTAGGGAACTTTGGAAGTGAGATTTGGAAATGTTGAGTTTCTGGGACTGTTGGAATATTGATTTAGAGTTATTGAGTATGGCTTCTTGAAACTGGGGGGCGTCAAGCTCAGGAATGCGGTCAGGACTGGCGTCAGAGGTGGTGAAGTAACCAAGTCTATGTTACTGCTTGATGCTGCAGTAGTGGGTCAGGTTTGTTCATTCGCTTCTTTGTTTTTAACACCATACCATGATTTGCTTTCTATTTTGAACAATAATGGTAAGGTAAGAGTAAAATTACATTTAAATACCTAACAGTTGGCTAACAGCATCTTATACGTTAAGAAAGTAACATGTAATTCACCTTTTTGTAGGAAATTCTTTTGAGCTTTTATTGAAAGCTTATGGAATTATAAGTTTCTAGAATAATGGTTGGAATAAACTGCCAAGACTGAGCTCCACTTTATCTTTCCCAGAAGAAAACAATCGTTTAGCTCAGGCTTTCCTCTCTATATTTTAGGAGTGGCCTCTAAATAACACTGCAACTGTAGAGATTGACCTACAGAAAACTATTGTCTTGATGATTTTACTGTCTGCCCTTTTTCTGCCTACTTCCTGAGTCAAAAGTTTTCAGCAGAGATTTACCGTCTACTAATCCATCACTGAATATTCAAGCGTCTACCAGGTGCCTGTAAAGGTGTGCAGGGCGCTTTGGGGGATAGAAGCCTCTGTCACTGCATGTAAGCACTTCCCAGTCCATGGGATTAAAAAGCAGGCATTCCTTGCACAGGATTTTCTCAGAGAAGATCATAAAGTCTTTCAGGTAATAGGAAATGTCATATGCCTTAATGGTCAAGGAGGTTGAAATATGTATAGAAGGCAGTTCTTTAAAGTACCAGGCACTTTTTTTAGCGATGATTAAGGTGTAGGGAAGAGTAAGTTACAATCAACATTGGTGGTGTCAAGCATGTGCTTCCCACATGTGGGCAACATCTGGACCCTCAGCAAGTCACGACGGGACATCCTGCCATTGGAGACAAACATACTCTACTGGTTTGGGACATCCTGCCATTGGAGACAAACATGCTCTTTACTGGCTTTTATAATTTGGTTAAGAGCTTAAATTTCATTTACTTGTTTATTTTCTTTTCCTACTTTTAAGTCTAAGGAATTTGAAGGTTTTTCAATAACACTGTCTGTACTTTAAGTCCTTGTTCACGTAGGCAGGTTAAGGAAGTGCCAAGCACTACTTGAAAAATGATTAACCTTCCTGACACGCCATCCATCGCCGCAGGACTTCCAGTAGGAAGTTAATAAAGGTTCTCCTGGGGAAGAGGGGATTAGGATGTTGTGGTTTTTCCTCTCATCAATTGGGTCTTCTAAATTGATTTAGTAGTAGAACAATATATATTTTATTATAAAGTATATATGGGCTTATTAAAGTTTAAAATGCCATTAAACTTTAAAGTCTTAGACCGTTTTTTATACTGTGTTGATTTGCTTTTATAGATGCATACTTGAAAACTACTAGGAAGTCAGTAGACTGGAGTTAGTATTATAGGTATATTTCTTATTAACTTCTCCCAAAGCAAAAAATAATAAATATTCTAGACAGTGGTTAATGTTAACTTTTACAGTTACTGAAAACAATTAGTCTGTTGGGAGCATGCATTAATAGCATGATTTCCCGGCCCGGATAAGCTTTGCTGTTTGCAGACTTCCATTTACTGACGTACCGTGCGTGTCCCAATATGTCTGCCTCATACCTGGTGCTCGAGAACATGTGCGTGGGAACTGGTGACGTGTAGCTCCTACTAAACTGAACTCACGGTGGTGGACAAACCAGACAGGAAAAAAGTCAGTCTTATTCGTTTTTGTGTCTCCAGTGTTTAGCTTGGTCCCTGCTTCTGTTTGTGGAATTGAATTTAGCATTTTAGATAGTCTTCATGGGTAATGAGTTTTTCTCTTTTAGGTTACTAAATTTAGATTTTTAATTTAACCATTTGAAATGTGTAGTCCTCTGATAGTGATGGTGTTTGAATTCGCAATTTTAAAAACCCGCTTATCAAGGAACCCAGAGATAAGATCTTATGGGGGCTGAATGAGAGGCTTCGGGATGTCACCGAGGGATCCTGGGGTGGCTGGAAGGGTGACGTTTCCGTACAAACTGTGGGACCAAGCCCGATGCCTTCTCCGAATAGGATGAAGTGCCTCCCTCTCGTCCTCATTTAGAAATGAATTTTTATTTGTTCCAGGCTGCCCTTGAAGTATGCAGAACATTTTTACAGGAAGATAAAGGTGAGGGAGTCATTATGGTGACAGACCCTCCTTTCGGTGGCTTGGTTGAACCTCTGGCTGTTACATTCAAGAAGTTAATTGCTATGTGGAAAGAAGGTCAAAGCCAAGGTGTGTAATTTATTACTTACTGCAAAATAAACATGTATCTGTGTATCTACTTCCTGTCAAATATTAGCAGAGCTCAGTGAATCAGAGCTTTGATAAAATATACATGTCTCGGGTTCTTGTGTGTATGTGTTTTTTTTAAACAGGCTTATTTGAGAATGTGCACACTTCATTATCGTGATACACTTTGTATTTTCCTGATCATGTGTTCTCAAAATGACTTGCAGGTGAGCATAAGGGGACATTATGAAGAACAGCAGTAATCTGTTGTCATTTATTCAGTAAATATTTACCGAGTACCGGGTACTGTTTAGGTGCTGGAAATAGAGTACCGAGCAAGATGGACAGATCTCCCTATCCTTGTGCTCTTATGTCCCCTGTTCCTAAAGTCTTGCCCAAAGCTCCTAGACGCCACCCAGCCTGTGGCCCAGAGCTCTACACTGTGCCAAGACGGGAATAGAAAGTTCAGACATGTGCAGCCTTACAGCGGTTATCAATGATAGATACCCACATAGATAGAGGTGCATTAATGGCTGGGGGTTATTATTCATTTTAAAGTGACTTAGGCCTTTGAAGTATTTTATGTAATTATCTAATTAGTTGGTACCATCATTTTTTAGTTTCCAGCTTACAAGTTGATAAACTGTAAGAGCGTCAGGAATCTGTGACCAAGCTTCTCCGTTAATCGTGCTTGTGCTTTGGAGAGAGACTGCAAATGAAATCTAAAACATGGCTCATAGTGTTAAGTATTTCCACTTATCAGAATAAAGTCAGAGTTATTGGGGAAGCAGTAAGGAGCTCAGTGGGCTTGAATTTCAGTTTTGCCACTTATTGGCTGCATGAACTTGAACAAAATACCTAAATCGTATGGCTTCAGTTGCCTGTCTATAAAATTGGGTTATTAATATCTAACTCTAGGGGTTATTGTAAGGAGATAATGTATAGAAAGTACCTAGCATTGTACTCAGCCTCTGCTAGGTGCTCTGCAAATAACAGCCATATCCCCTGTCTGTCATCAAAGTTAATGTTGACAAGCTTGTTTTGTTTTGTTTTGTTTTTAATATTTTATTTATTTCTAGGAGAGAGAGATAGAGACAGCGTGAGCAGGGGAGGGTCAGAGAGAGAGGGAGTCACAGACTGAAACAGGCTCCAGGGTCTGAGCTGGCAGTCAGCACAGAGCCCCACGCGGGGCTCGAACCCACGAACCGCGAGATCATGACTTAAGCGAAAGTCGGACGCTTAACCGACTAAGCCACCCAGGTGCCCCGATAAACTTGTATTTTTAGAATCTTCCATGATTTAGGAAAGATTGATTCACCCCTGAAAAGCACATAACGAGTCATGGCAGAGCTGTGTTCTGACTTCCGGCCTCTGCTTCTGGCCCCACAGCACAGCCACATTGCTCCTCTCAAGTAATGCTCCCTTTCATTTCCCACTTTACTGGTGATGTCTTCGCCTTTACCTGGAATGTAGTGATATGTGTGTAAGGATTCCTTTTACATTTCCTTTATAACTGCATTTGGATAAAAGAACATTTCCACTGACTCTTGGGAAAGATCAAGTTGTAAATGGCACTCTGGTAAACATTCTCTTCTTCTGTATGATTTAAGTGCATTGAATGATTGCAAAATTTTCCCAATATTAGAAGTTGTTCAGTGACAGCTGTTTTATTTTTTTAATAAAAATTTCTTATTTTCTCTTCCCTTTTTTTTTTTGTGATCCATTAGATAGCAGTCACAAAGAGCTCCCTGTATTCTGGATTTTCCCCTATTTTTTTGAATCCCGAATTCGTCAGTTTTTTCCAAGCTTCTGCATGCTGGATTACCAGGTATGGTAGTAAATATTCTGTTTTCTGGCATGGTTGAGGAATGCTAAGTAAATATTCTGATCACACAACCCATCAGTTTAGTATATGATAATACTATGAACTGTATTGAACACTAAAATTGTACCATACGTATCTTAGGCTAGAGGTTCCTAATTGTCATTTTAGGGCACTGATTAAAAATATAGATTCCTAGGTACCAAGATAAACCAACTAACTCAAAGTTAGAGAGTAAAGCCTGAAGAAACCATGTTTTACCAGGCTTCCCAGGTGATTCTGCAGCACAGCCAGGGTTTAGACCGACCGACCCGACCTTTCTCCTCAACAGAAGGTGCCGCAGGACCCCAGAGGCATTGTTATGAAGGGGGAGTTTTGTCTGTTCAGACAGAGGTTGTAGAGAAGTAAGTTGCTTTTTCTGGTCGGTGGCATGTCATGTACACTTCACTGCGTCACTCAGAGGATTCCAGGAGCTCTGAAGGGAGGCGTGTCCAAGGTGACAGCGTGTCAGAGAGGCAGAGACGCTGGGGTCCGTGTGCGTGTGCGGGGGTGAGTGTGCTCATTTCAGGGCAGAACTGACCAGCCCGCCCTCCCGTCTCTGCCCTCAACTCCTGCTTTAATGTCCACTTTCCTGTTTTCATTCCCTTGCGTTCTGAAGTTAACCCGATTGTCACCATCCCCATGTGTGGTCAGCGAGTGGCCACTGCATCCTCTTTTGTAGTGACATCTTTCTGTTGGAGCTTGCTGAGCGACGGACTGCCTTTATGAAGGCTTTTCTGCCCCAGAACTGAAAGTGTCTCCTCTGCTTGTTCCAAGCTAGTGCTTGGATGTGAGCTCTCTAATCTTGCAGACATTTAATCATTATGAGAGTGAGGATAATTACCATGTGAAGAAATGACTGTGTTTCTTTCAGAAACAATGTTACCCAAAAGGAGAGGACAGACCCTGCCTGTGATTCCACCCCAAAATAGCAAATGTGATAATTTTACACGTGTTACGTGTCTGTAATCAGAGCAGACACATCCGAGTTCTGTTTCCTCCGTGTCTTACGTACGTGTACGTTTGTAAATGTAGCGCCATAGTTTTTATGCCTTTAATCACTTTAAATAATCTTATTAGCAGGTTATGTTATCAATTGTTAATCTTTTTTTTTGACTTACATTGCTTCCACCTTTAATGTACTGTAAATACCACTGACATGAACACCTTTTATTCAAATAATTTTACCATAGTTTACATAACTTCCTTAAAATAAATTTCCAAAACCGAAATAGAATTCCAAACATGTTGTTATCGGCTTTAATGGACATTTTTGTGGCTGTTGAACCCTATTAATAGGTTCCTTTCCAAAAGTGTATACAGCACAAACCATCTTAACCTTGACTTCTTGAGCTCTGCTTTGGGCAGAATCTGCATCATAATTCTTCCCATTGTGCTTTACTTGCCTTTTTCAGACACACAGTTCTCTGTTTCCGGTCTGAGGGGTGACCCGAGTGTGGGCATTTGCAGAGCAGTTAGTGGCCATATCCTAAAGATGTTAGCCAAGGAGACTTCTCAGAGGGCAGGAGCACCTGCTGCCTTCCACAGTGAATAATCATGGAGCCCAGCGCTGGGCACGACAGTCAGTGCCTTACACACGTTGAACGGGTAACTGCCTGAAACTCCATGTGAGCTCCAGAGTTGAAGAGGAACTGGGTTTTAATCCTGGTTCTGCCCGTTACTCGCTGGGCCTGTACATTTTATCTACCCCTCTGCAGCCCATGTGATCTGTTAAATGAGCAGAGTAATTATGTATCTGTCTCATGAGGTGTTGAGAATTATAGAACACACAGAAAGGCTTAGCCTAGTTGCTGACCCACAGCAAGTGTAGAATAAAGGTTATTGGTCTCCACATTGTCGTGACCATCACTTTATCGTCACCATCAGACAGTCCCAGGGTGCGGGTAAAACTTTTCTTTTGGGCTTATTTTTTGGGGGGTATAATATCTGAGACATTAAAATTGCAAAACATATGGTTCCTCAGAAAACTGTTCCATTCATATTTTTTTATTTTTTAAAATGTTTATTTTTGAGAGAGAGCGTGAGCACGGGAGGGACAGAGAAAGGAAGAAACAGGAGGATCTGAAGTGGGCTTGATATGGGGCTCGAACCCACGAACCGTGAGATCATGACCTGAGCCGAAGTCAGACGCTTAACCAACTGAGCCACCCAGGCGCCCCTCCATTCACATTTAGATCACTAAGGGCGAGAGTTTGAACTGCCGAAGAGGCCAAAGAAGGCAGATTCAGAGTAGAGTGGATGAGAGAGGTGACCACCAGGGTCCAGTTACTGTTGTTGTTGTTTTTAATTTTTAATGTTTTTTTTTTTTTAATTTATTTCTGAGAGAGAGAGAGAGACATCGTGAACAGGGGAGGGTCAGAGAGAGAGGGAGACACAGAATCTGAACAGGCTCCAGGCTCTGAGCTGGCAGTCAGCACAGAGCCTGACCCGGGGCTCGAACCCATGAACCGTGAGATCATGACCTGAGCCGAAGCCAGACGCTCAACCGACTGAGCCACCCAGGCACCCCTCCAGTCACTGTTTTGACAGCCTGTGTTACTAAGAAGGAACTTGTGGAAATGCTGGAGTCGCAGTTTTGAGAAATAGTTCCAAGGTCCAAGCTTATTAAAAATAATTACCCAGGGGCACCTGGGTGGCTCAGTCATTTACATGTCTGACTTTTGATTTCGACTCCGGTCATGAGCTCACATGTCATGAGGTCCAGCTCTGTGCTGAGAGTGAGGCACCTGCTTGGGATTCTCTGTCTCTCTTTCTCTCCTTGTCCCCTCCTCTCTCTCACTGTCTCTCAAAAATAAATAATTAAAAAATAGTAATTATACAATTCACTGTATTGGTGAAGAAAGTTTCTAATTAGGCCATATGCATCAGACAGAGTAAAAAGCAGTCTTTTTAGTGAAGAGAAAGCCAAACTTTGAAAAGAAAAATTAGAATAAAATCTGTGAGACAAAACACATCTTTGTTTTTTTTCTGATTTCTACTGAAGATAAGAACACTACTGCCCTTTGCATGCTCAGATAGAGAAACTGATTTTCGCCATATCTCCTATTGTGTTTATAAACCTTATTTGTTGTAGATCACCTTGATGACCTTTCTTTCTTTCTCTCTCTCTCTCTTTCTTTTTAAATATTTATTTATTTTTGAGAGAGAGAGACAGAGTATGAGTGGGGGAGGGGCAGAGAGCGGGGGGAGACATAAAATATGAAGCAGGCTCCAGGCTCTGAGCTGTCAGCACAGAGCCTGATGCAGGGCTTGAACCCATGGACTGTGAGAACATGACCTGACCTGAACTCAGACGCTTAACTGACTGAGCCACCCAGACGCCCCTTTCTTCCCTTCCTTCCTTCCTTCCCTTCTTCCTTTCTTTCTGGAGAATTTTTCTGGATTTACTATTATTAACCTTTCTGACACTTTTATTTTCTTTCTTTTCTTTCCCTTGTTATTTTAACCTTACTTTGTGGTGATTTATTTTCTTGTATATTAGCTGCCTGAATCAAATGAAAAATTTGAAAGTCTCTTGTCCTCCTTCACAGGTCTTTTGCCATAGACCTTGATTAGACCTTCTTTCTCACACCCCCAAGATGATTATAAGCTCCCACACCACAATACAGTAAGAAAAAAAAAAAAACCCCAAAATCACCAAATCTCTTTTTTTGAAATACTTTTCAGGTAAGGCAGAAATGCTGCAAATCTTCATAAAATATAAATCAGACTCTTCAATGATAAAGCGCTTGATGACTACAGAATAAAATAGTCATCAAAGACCTAGAAAACCAAAAGTTCTATTAAGGGCAGATTAGGAAGGAAGGATGTGATAATGAAAAGAAATTCTGACTCACAGTCAGAAGAAGTGTGAGTCCTAGCATGCTGCCTTTTAGAGGCTCTTTAATCTTGGAGGAAGTCAGTTTATCTTTCCCGGTCTCTGTTTCCTTACCTATAAAAAAACAATTGAATCAGAAAAGAGATGGCAGATAAGTTTCACTTTTAGTGCTTTAGTGGTAAGCCTGATAAATTGGTAGTGACTTTCTGGAGAATTCGTTGAGAATACCAGGCTCAGTGGCAGAGAGTAGTGTGTGATTGATTAGTGATGTCTGCCACAGTGACGTGGTCAGGGAGTAGCGGCATTCGGGTCCCGTATTTACCATATCTGAGCTAGATCGCCTCACTTCCCTTCCACTGTGAACATGCTATGGTTTCTTGTTTCTGTTTAACCTGGGACATTTGTTTGGATTGTTAAAAGTACGAGGTTTGCTCTTTTTAAAAGTTATTTTTAAAAATCATCCTGTGTGGAAAACTGTTTTTTGAGTTTTTTAGTTTCGTGTTCATAAATGAAGATATTTTGACAGGAATTTCTGACAAATGATTGCAAATTACAAGATGGCAACTGAAATTCTTAAAACGATGTAATAAACACAAACATGTAAAGGGTTTGGAGTGACAAGGGAGATAATATATGTGTGTATATTATTTTTAAAAAATTGTCTTATGTTTTATTTTTGAGAGAGAGGTGGGAGGAGGGGCAGAGAAAGAGGGAGACACAGAATCCGAAGCACACTCCAGGCTCTGAGCTGTCAGCACAGAGCCCATGCAGGGCTCGAACTCACGAACGATGAGATACTGACCTGAGCCCAAGTAGGATGCTTAACTGACTGAGCCCCCCAGGCGCCCCTATAATTGTAAATAAAAGGTACATGAGGAAGTGACTAAAAGACCTTATTGCTCTGATAGAAGCTGGTTGATGGAGCTGAAGCATTCACTTCAGACCTTTTGATACACTGAAATTAAATAAATAGATTATGATCCTTAGGGAGTTAGGAAAATAAATACAAGCACTGTGTCTTTTCGATCTCTGTTTCCCAGTAGGATGCCTAGAACATAGTAGGTGCAAAATAAATGTGTATTGACTTGAATGTCTTGGTTCCTGTATAACTAGCTCCAGTCTCACGTTACAGAAGAAATTTGCGTATAGATAAAATTAAAAGTTAAGAACTGCAGAGATTTTGTGCTTTCCCTCATTTCTATACAGTACTTCATCACATTAATCAGTTCCATGGGAGAAATTTTCTATTTGAAAGTGCCTCTCATCATCATTGTGAGTGAAATGTCAGCCATAATGACGGGAAAATGGTGTATCAGCTCTACCATGAGTGATGCAATTTGCAAAATTGTGTTTGCTTCCCCACGCTTCCTTCCACAGGACGTTTATTTGTGTGCATGAAGCTATGAAATATGGATGTATGTGAGAGGTACATTAATTTACCCTGGCAGCATGCATTTTACATACCATATGTTTATAGTTAATTAGCACAACAAACCCACATTTAAAAATAATAATAATCTCAATTAGGTTATGCAAAACCAAGCAATCAGCCACCTTCCTGACACATACATTCTCCGACTCCTTGGGTAACCATAAAGGGATTGTTCTTTTTTTCCCCCTCTCTTCCATCTGCAATCTTTTGTATTGCATGGAATATTTCCATTTACTAGGAACCTTTCTAAGGTCCTCTTTTTCAGCATTTGAAGATCTTCCTAAAGTTCTCTTGGGAAGATTTTTTTTCTTACGATACTCATAAATGTTCAAAATATCTTTGTTGAAATTAATATGGTATCATGTATTTATTGAGTACAGAGAGGAGTGCATTAGGGAAAAATTATGCATTTAAATTGTTTTAAAAGAAAACTACTTACAAAAGTATTTTAAAGTAATTTTGAAGTAAAATCTAGCCTCTTGTATCTTAGCCTCTAAGAGGTGATATCTTTTCGTAGAATTTTAAAGTTGGAAAGAAACATGAGGGGTGTAACGCGGGCTACCTTCCCACCACAATAAGCCTCTCCTCTGAATTCATGACAGCCAGTCACCCGGCCTCACTTTGAATGCTTTCAGTGAGCAAAGTCCTGCTGCCTTAGAAGGCAATTCAATTTATTTAATAGCTCTAATCGTTAGAAACTTTTCTCATATTGAGATAAAATATGCTCCCTATTAACTTCTTTTTTTTTTTAATTTTTTTTTAATGTTTTATTTATTTCTAGGAGAGAGAGACAGTGTGAGCAGGGGAGGGTCAGAGAGAGAGGGAGTCACAGACTCTGAAACAGGCTCCAGGCTCTGAGCTGGCAGTCAGCACAGAGCCCGACGCAGGGCTCAAACCCACGAACCGCGAGATCATGACCTAAGCCAAAGTCGGACGCTTAACCGACTAAGCCACCCAGGCGCCCCAAAATATGCTCCCTATTAACTTCTAACCACTGGTCCTGCTTCTCTCCTCCAAAGCAATAAAGGCTAAGTCTAATTTCGATTCCACCAACACCCCTTCAGTTATAAAACTGAGGATCCTCCCAGTTTCCGCTTTTCTGAATAAACACCCCCAATACGGGGAAACTATAAATCCTATTCATTCCCATTACTTTCGGTAGAAATGAACTGGTTTTATCAGCGTCTCTCTTCAAATGCGGGGCTTCAAATGTAATCTACCTGCATCCTTTCCTTGTGATGCTATTACACTTCTTCACACGGTCACGCTGGGCCGTGGGCTCATCATGCTGTCACTTAACCAGAACCCCCAGGGCTTGGGTCCCCTCCCCCCACACTGGTCCTTTGTTTAGCGGGGTCTCCTCATGTGGCACGTATTTTTCCCCTACCGCCGAGGCTTATTGATCCATCTTCCTGAACTTGTTCATGGGTTAGTCTTGTTGCAAGCCACGGGCAGGGCCATACAGAGAGCTTAGGAGTTTCTCACTAAAGCCCTCTCTTTCCAGTGTCTTAATTAAGTCCGTATGTTTTGGTGATTTGCTTATTAAATAGCTTGCAAGCCAGTTCTTTTATAAAACTCTTAAGTGTCTTCTTGTTTAGAGTCTAAACAGTTCATTATAACTTATTTGAAAGTTGGGCTCTGCCTGTGTTGACTTCATAAAAACCTTATGGTATTCTTGTGGATAATCTAGAACAGTGGTTCCCAAACTTGAGTGTGCCAGGAGGGCTTGTTAAGAACACAGATGCGGAGCAGGGGGAGGAGGGCGCCTGGGTGGCTCAGCCCGTTAAGCTTAGGTCATTACCTCAAAGTTCGTGAGTTCAAGCCCCACATCGGTCTCTCTGCTGTCAGCATGGAGCCCGCTTGGGATGGTCTGTCCTCTCTCTCTGCCCCTCCCCTGCTCGCGCATGTGTGCATGCTCTCTCTCACTCTCAAAAATAAATAAACATTAAATAAATAAAATGTTCTTGTTAAAATTTTAAAAAAAATACAGATTGCAGGGCCTGACACCCAGGGCTTCTGTTTTATTAGGTCCTAGGTGGGGGAGGATGTGTTTTTCTAGCAAGATCTCAGGAGCAGTGCTGATGTTGCTGATCCAGGCATTGCACTTGGAGAATTACTGGTCTGAAGAAAGGTGGACTTAGTGACCAGGTGAACTCAGAGCAGGTTTAGAGCCAAAGTGAGAATGTGTATGGATGGCAGAGAGGTTGGAGAAGGAGACCAGAGCAAGAAGCCAATAGAAACCATGCCTGTTAGCTTCAGCTTACTTTCAGGATGATCTGCCAAGGCTGAAAGCTGAGTTGGAGTCTTGAGGAGAAGTAAATGTTTGAAATAGTCACAATTTTAGTTGTGAATCTCTCTTCACCCCCGTCTTTCTATCTGTCTCTACCATATGCCAGGCTTTGAACTTGGTGTTTTGCAGACATTAACTCATGTAACCTTCACAGTGTCCCTGGGGCAGAATTCAGCAACTTCCTTCTCCAGGTGAAGATTATATAAAGTTGTCTATGGTCGCAAGTGAGTGGCAGAGCCACTGTCTGGTCCCCAAACCTACGCTCTGCCAGAATGTGAGAGGTCACAGCCTGAATGGTGGAGGGCCAGAGTAAGACTGGACTGACACTCACTGACCTCAGACCTAACAGGTAGTAGATGTCACACACACAGATGAAAAGTCCCATCCAGGCTGGCACATGTCTTCAGGGGTGGAATTTTTTAGCACCAAAAGCCAAATTCTTAATTACAGAATAGTCCTTCTTGTGAAGTCTCTTCTATTAGATGAAAGATTACAGTTGTTCTCTTAATACTGGGCAATATGAACTTAACAAAGTATACCTTTTCTGTAATGAAGTTTCACTGCCACAGAGGCCTCTTTGAGGCTGATTAATAGGCAAACTCTTGCTTTTAAGAATTTCCTCTTAAGGGGCACCTGGGTAGCCCCATCGGTTGAGCATCTGACTTTAGCTCGGGTCATGATCTTACCGGTTTGTGAATTCAAGCCCCACGTTGGGCTCTGTGCTGCCAGCTCGGAGCCTAGAGCCTTCTTCCAATTCTGGTCTCCCTCTCTCTCTGCCTCTCCCCAACTCATACTCTTTCTCTCTTAAAAATAAATAAACAGAGGGGTGCCCGGGTGGCTTAGTCGGTTGGGCGTCCGACTTTCGCTTAGGTCATGATCTCGCGGTTTGTGCGTTCGAGCCCCGCGTCGGGCTCTGTGCTGACTGCCAGCTCGGAGCCTGGAGCCTGTTTCAGTCTGTGACTCCCTCTCTCTCTGACCCTTCCCTGCTCACGCTGTCTCTCTCTCTCCTAGAAATAAAAAAATATAAATAAATAAATAAACAAACAGGAACAATTAAAAAGAATTTCTTAAATACTTTGGCTTAACTCCTATCTTGGCATCAATTGTTCTTCTTTGATTAAAGAATCTTCATAGATGTTGACTCATTTGAGTAATGTTCTTTTTCAATTTTTTTTTTTAACTTTTTAGGTAGATTATGATAATCATGCACTTTATAAACATGGAAAGACAGGCCGAAAACAGTCTCCTGTGCGTATTTTCACCAATATTCCACCCAACAAAATAATCCTTCCTAGTGAAGAAGGGTACAGGTAAGAGTGTGACCTTGAAATAGATGAGTCACTGAAAATAAAGTTCCATATATCTAACATTAAGATGCTTTTCATATTGACTCATATAGTTCTTCTGTTGCTTTTAAACTTCGTCCACATTTTATATTGAATTGAATTTGATTATACCCAATTTTGCAACAAGTGCCATTTATCTACTCTGTGAATCCTCATGAGAATATGCAGATGAGTTAAGTCTCTTTCTTTCTTCCTTAGATTTTGCCCTTTATGTCAACGATATGTTTCCCTAGAGAATCAACACTGTGAGCACTGTAATTCTTGCACATCCAAGGTACGGGTTCCTATAGAATGTGTTTTTATTAAAATATGTTAGTTTTATTTTAGCTTACTAGCCATTATATTTGCCTATTATAATTTGTGTTGCCATATTATCATTTACTAAATATACATTAATACAGTGTTTTATTTCCAGTCATAAAGTACAGCAGCCTTTGCCTTCCTCATCATTAACAGCTATTTGAATTCACTTTGCTACGGGGCTGTATGACTGCAAACATCAGGAGCATTTCAGATAAGGCATGAGATGAGTGCTAAGTTGTGTTGGGGCTAAATTTAAGGTGTTTGAAGTAAAATACTGCACTGTTAGATGCCATCACTATTTTAATGAAGTAATAATAACATACTGTGCACTTTTTATGGGCCACACCCTTTCCTAAGAGCTGTCCATGGGTTATTCCTTTGTGGGTTATTCCTCACAAAGCCTTAGGAGATGAGTACTCTCCCAGTGTTTGCAGATAAGGAAGGACTCTAGGGACACACCTCCTGCCTAGTGTTTTAAAGAAGTGGATGACCCTTAAGTTGGCCTGTTTATTTTAACTAAATCTAGTCAGCAAGAACATAGGAAGTTCAGTTAGGCTAATATGCACAAATCATTCTCCAAAGGAAAGGGCTGTATTTTTGTAAATATTATCAAGTACAGTTTTCAAAACTCTATAATTTTATAACAGATTATACTTGTTTTTAACTGTGGTAGCACACCGGATGATGTGTGTTTTCAATCAGTTTAGAAATGATCTGTGTTCTTTATTTAAAAGAAAAAAATTACGCCCCGATCATATAAAGCTCAAAATGAGGAAGACTGAACTTTATTGTTTAGAAATACACACATAAGTGGTAAGAAATAAACAAAAGCAAGGAAATGACCATCCCAGAGACCAGAGTGGGTGTTACTCAGTGGGGAGGGAGGAATTGCTGGATTAGGAAGGGGGGCTTCTTGGGGTTGACGGTATTCCATTTCTCATCCTATTGGGATTCTTCATTCTGTGCTTTATCATCCTCATTAAGTGGGACCAGCGTCCTAACACACAAATGTGTCTTACACACTTTTTTTTAGTAGTTTTATGTCACGGATTTAACATTAACCAAACAGCACCCTATAATCTCCATCTTTCTAAGTTATCTAAAGTTCTTAAATATGAATTTTATTAGGGATTACACCACATTGACATGTCAAAGTTATGAATCATTCATTCTCTTGAAATTTTCATTGCGTCCTTCTTTGTGCAGCATGAATTGCTTGAGCTGGAGTGGACTTTCAGGATCACGTAGATAAATCCCCTAGTTTTACAGTTAAGGAAATTGGGGCCCATCAGGGCGGCCTTTGAGTTGAGTGGAGAAATGCATAAATTAAAATCAAAGTATTTAATTGTGAAGCCCAGGAAAGTGAGAAATACGGAGTGAATAATTTACACAGATTTTAATAAGACATTTTAATTTTTAATTGTGGAACTTGATTTTTAATGATACATTAAAGATAATTTAAAAATTGTTTTTGTAGGATGGCAGGAAATGGAACCATTGCTTCCTCTGCAAAAAGTGTGTAAAACCTTGTAAGTATTTAGATTAGTATTTGACAAGCTGTGAAAACATTTCAGAGTTTTTCTTCACCCAGATAGCATTTGTATTTAATTGTATCTATAAGAGAAAAGAAAACCCTTAATACAGACAGATACCTGCATTGATTTTACTTGCTTTTTAGTGTTTGTAGTTACCAAAGTGCACACCGTCTCCTTTATAGGGAGACATGACTGTAACCTAGTTCAGTGCGGCCTTTGGTTTGGCTTATTTTATTTTATTCATTTATTTTATTGTATTTTTTAAAGTTTTTATTTATTTACTTTGAGAGGGATGGGCAGGGGTGGGGGTGGGGAAGGGGCAGAGAGACAGGGAGAGAGAGAGAATCCCACGTAGGCTCCACACCGTCAGCAAGGTGGGGCTCAAACCCATGAACCTTGAGATCATGACCGGAGCTGAAGTCCAGTGTCGGACGCTCAACCGACTGAGCCACCCAGGCGCCCTGGTTTGGTTTATTTTAATAGGAGTTTGTGTCCCTCAACCAGCCCCCGTTGTATCAGTGGCTCTCAGCTCATGACTCCTTGAAGAAGGGCTGCCATGTATCAGAAAGAAGTTAGCTGGTTTATGTGGGATTCTGACCTCTTAACCTTGGCTTCTTTAGCCAAAGTATAACCAACTATGTGAACCAGTCACGGTAATTTGAAGTAAACACTATTCATCTTCTCTATCATAAAGGTTGGTCACATGAAAAATTGTATTAAATGAACTTCCTCCAAAACTTAATTTTTGTTTTCTAGCCTGGACCCACTGTAGCATGTGTGGTCGCTGTGCTCTTCCAGACCATTCCTGCGGGGCCCCTAAAGATGGCTGCTTTATTTGTGGTGAATTAGATCATAAACGTAGTTCTTGTCCTAAGATCGCTGCATCTAGGAGAGTGGACAAGTAAGTTGAATTCTTTTACTGACTAGAACAACATTTTCCTTGTGTGACTCGTATGAAGTAGTCCACAAAGGTGTGCGCGAGAGGATTCAGACGTGCTGAATTGTTGGCTGTTTTTACCGTTATGTACTTACTGTTTGCACAGACATGGGGGGTGGGAGGCAGGACACAAAGATGAGTGAAAAAGCTTAACATTTTATGGGTAAGACATGAAAATAAACAAAATATAAGATAGAAACTGATTAACTTTATATCTTCTGTGGTTCATGTGAAATTATAATTTGTGGGGAACAAGTTCAAGCTTTTAAAAAAATTCTTTTTTAATGTTTATTTTTGAGAGAGAGAGACTGGGGAGAGACAGAGAGGGTACGTGTTCTTGTGCATGGGGTAGGGGCAGAGAGAGTGAGAGGCAGAATCTGAATCAGGCTCCAGGCTCAGAGCTATCAGCACAGAGCCTGACATGGGGCTTGAACTCACAAACTGAGAGATCATGACCTGAGCCAAAGTCAGATGCTTAACCGACTGAGCCATCCAGGCACCCCTGACAGTTCAGGCTTTATTAACAGACATGATATTTAAGTCAGGACAGATGGGATGCAGACACCTGACAGCAGAAGAGGCTGGAGAAGGCATTTCAGATGGAATGGAATGCGTAATCCTACAGTGAACACCTTGGAGAATGAAGTTATCTCTTTACATTCTGTCAGACTTGGAAAAAAAAAAACATTTAGACCTATTATTTAAAATATAAATATGTAAAATTTTAATTTTTGCCACTTGTTTTCTATGATTATTTTCACTTCCACCAATATTTGTTGTTGGTTATTACTCCGAACAAAGTTATTCCAGTGACCACAGTATATTTAGAAAAACCACTGCGGTCTCAGCCTCGCTGATTTGAATGCTAACACTTAAAAACAGCACAAAAACTAAAACTAGGGGCACCTGGGTGGCTCAGTCAGTTAAGTGCCTGACTTTGGCTCAGGTCATGATCTCGCAGTTTGTGAGTTCGAGCCCCGCATTGGGCTCTGTGCTGACAGCTCAGAGTCTGGAGCCTGCTTCTGATTCTGTGTCTCCCTCTCTCTCTGCCCCTCCCCTGCTCATGCGCTGTCTCTCTCTCAAAAATAAATAAATATTTAAAAAAAAAACCAAAAAACTAAAACTAAAAGGAATGATAGTTACTGAGTCTTCTTTTATTGTAATGAAAACCAGATAGCCAAATTTAACATTACAAGAGAATTGGGATCAGCATCAAGTTTTTGAGCTATCTTATGACTTGTGATAAAAAAATATTTCTTAGCATTAGAAATATCTGATGCTATTATAACTATTTATAATTATATTAGAATTCTTTTCCATTTGTTTATTGTTTTGGTCAGTGGCAATTATTTTTTTTTTTCTGTTGAGGCCCAGCTATTTGAATTCTGCCTACTGTGTTACTTTTCCATTTCTTTTTATCAAATTTACTTTGAACAATTAGTTCTATTAAGTAATCTAGGGTAGAAATGGAAGATTCTAAATTAAGAAATGTATTGAAGAATCTTATAAAAGACTTTTGCTTAGAAACCTTTAAGAATTAAAGTGCAGCTTGGGGAATCTGGATAGCTCAGTCAGTTAAGTGTCGCACTCTTGATTTTGACTCGGGTCAGTATCTCAGAGTTGGTGAGCTCCATGTTGGGCTCTGTGCTGTCAGCATGAAGCCTGCTTGGGATTCTCTCTCTCCCTCTCTCTTTGGCCCTTCCCCACTTGTGCACACACATGCACGCGCACACTTTATCAAAATAAATAAATAAACTTTAAAAAGAACAAAGAACAAGGTAATAAACTATTGGTCTGGGATTGTTGTACCATTTATTAGGTGATTCTGGTTGCAAACACAGTAACATGCTCAGACTTCAATTCTGTGATCTTATGACACATGGAAACTGAATTTGCATTTTAGCATCATATTGTAGGCTCTTTGTTGGCTCTGCAATAGCCCTGGCTAGTCTGCATGGTAGTATTATATTGTTTTCATTGAGGGAAACCAGTTAGTATCTTTTAGTACTAGATTTTATCAAATTTAATTAAAGGAAGAAATCCATTAGGATGTGGTATACCTGATATGTCTTTCTTTTGTAAATGTTTAAAAAATGTTTATTTATATTTGAGAGAGAGAGATGGTGTGTGAGCAGGAGAGAGGCAGAGAGAGAGATGGAGACAGAATCTGAAGCAGGCTCTGAGCTGTCAGTACGGAGCCTGAGCGGGGCTCAAACTCATGAGCCATGAGATCATGAGCTGAAGTTGGACGCTTAACTGACTGAGCCATCCAGATGCCCCAAGTCTTTTTTTTTTTTTTTTTTAATGTTTACTTTTTGAGAGAGAGAGCAAGCCAGAGAGTGGCAGAGAGAGAGGGAGAGAGAAACTCCAAGTAGGCTCTGTGCTGTCAGTGCAGAGCCCCATGTGGGGCTCAAACTCGTGAACCGGGAGATTATGACCTGAGCCGAAACCAAGAGTCAGACACTTAACCAACTGAACCACCTAGGCACCCCAACCTGATAAGTCTTAAATGGTATTACTTTTTTCTCAGAATAGGCTCCTAAACTGTTGACAGTTATCTTCAGGTATTTCTTTCAAAAAATTTTCATAATGAAATTGACAAGGTAAAATTTTTTCTTTACAATAGTAAAAAAAAATTATATTAGGGTCTCCTGGGTGACTCAGTCAGTTAAGTGTCCGGCTTCGGCTCAGGTCATGATCTCATGGTTCGTGAGTTGGAGCCCTGCGTTGGGCTCTGTGCTGACAGCTGGGAGCCTGGAGCCTGCTTCACATTCTGTGTCTCCTTCTCTGTCTGCCCTTTCCCCGCTCATGCTGTCTTTCTCTCTCACCCTCCCTCTCTTTCCCTCTCAAAAATAAACATTAAAAAATAAAAAAATAAAAATATTATATTTTGGCATATATGGCATAAAAGGTATTTCATAGCTGTCTTATATTAATTTCTTTTCTCTGAGTTTAATTTGCCTTTGCTCCTGAACTGGAATGTTGCAAGCTCCCTCTTGTGGTTAATCGTTTTTATCATTACATAAATACAGACACACTAGGTCAATTTAATGTTAAGGCAAAACAAAACAGTTGATTTATATTCAATTAGTTCAGTTTATACTCAGTTGAACTTTATCTCTGGCAAGTTTTGTTTATTCATATTACAAATGAATATTTTCTTCTGCTTTTGTTTACTGAATATTCTAGTGAGGTCTGGTTCATGTTTAGTTCTTTTTATAAGTGGATGAGCCAAAGAAGATTTGTTCAGATTTTGTATACAGGCACACACAGCTTCATTGACTTTGTCATCAAGAGATTAGACTTCATTAAATTTGCTATCATCACTTATCAGGACTTTAGCCTACTTAAAATAATGATTGGAGGGAAAGGAGGTTTATATGACATGCAGAAAACAGTAAAGATGACTGTAGTATTTGTTGTGTTTTTGAACGGGTAGGCTGTCCCAGTCCATCATGCAAAATCTGAATATGGGAAAATGGAAAGTTGTCAAGCAAAAGTCTGAATAATAGTCATGTGGTGCTACTAATAAGAGCTAATATTTGTTTAGTGCTTACTCTGTGCATAGCATTTTACGTCTGAATAATAGTATCACTATATATACTATATATCACTATGATATATAGTATAAAGGTAATTAAGAAACACAGGTTCTAGAATCAAACTGGTTCTGCCACTTCTTCATTGGATGATTTCATAGTTTCTTCCCCTAAAAACAATCTGGGGAAGGAAAATGAAAGGTGACATCAGCCTTGTCTCAGTCTCCCAGATCCTCGGAGTCAAAGATCATGCCCGCTCATTTCCATCACTTAATAGAGGTGTTGTGTGGACAAAAAGTGAGGCTCAGGTTTGCTCCACTGAAGGATTCTTTCCTTTTATTTTTTTTTTTAACTTTTTAATGCTTTATTTATTTATTTTAAATATTTTTATTTATTTCTAGGAGAGAGAGAGAGACACCATGAGCAGGGGAGGGTCAGAGAGAGAGGGAGATACAGACTCTGAAACAGGCTCCAGGATCTGTGCTGGCAGTCAGCACAGAGCCCGACGCGGGGCTGGAACCCACGAACCGCGAGATCATGACCTAAGCCAAAGTTGGACGCTGAACCAACTAAGCCACCCAGGCGCCCCACTTTATTTATTTTTGAGAGAGATCACGAATGGGAGAAGGGCAGAGAGAGAGGGGGAGACACAGCATTGGAAGGAGGCTCCAGGCTCTGGGCTGTCAGCTCATGAGCTCATGAGATCATGACCTGAGCTGTAGTTGGATGCTTAACCGACTGAGCCACCCAGGTGCTCCGCTCCACTGAGGAATTCTATATTGTCTATGGAGCTTCTCTCCTAGGTTTAGGTCCTGGGAAGATCAGGAAGAAGCTTTTCCCTCGGACTTGTGGTTTAGGAGAAATGCATCTCCTGACCGACGCTGCCGCGCAGCCTTGGGGGTTTCCAGGGTTGCGGGTGCTGGCAGCCTCAGCACTCTCCTTAGTTCGTGATATGATAAATGGCATGGTTCTGCTGCTTTGGAGAGAGAGAACGAACAGACCGGTCATCTTTCTTATCTACGGATTGTCTGTAACTTAGTTCAGAAAGCACCAGAAGCTAAGGATGTTTTGTCCTGCTGTGGTTTAGTGTTTTTAGGGAGTGGGTTCCATCTCGTTGGTTTCGAAGCTAGTGTTTCAAGAAGACTATGGACATCCTGTTTGGCACTTATCCAGGCTGTACACCCACTGTGGAAGGGAAAACTAGCTGTCGGGCCTATAAGATGGGCCTCTGAAAGTGCTGTCAGTTTTTCCGTTGTGCTATTTCATTTCTTCACCGCTGCTAAGTGCCAGCTCTGTCAGTCCTTTTTAATTCAAGGATTTGGAGATTGAAGTGCTGAGTTGAGCAGTACAGATGTGCCCAAACCAAACCAACAGCAAAAACAAAACAAAACCCTCCTAACTCATTGGCTTTAGTGTTTTTAAAATTTAAAGAATAATTGACAAAATAGTTTGCATTCTTTCTTCAACATCCTGTGTGCCCTTGACACTGGGAGCACATTGAACTCGCCCTCACCACATTTCAAGTGCTCGCAGGCCACATGCTGGCTAGAGGCCACCAGATGGTTCAGCACAGCGATGGCTTTTCCCGGCTTGGCTATTTACCTCTGTGGTGTGCTTGTCCCGAATAGATTGTTAGTCTGTCAAAGAAATTTCTTCCCTCCAGCGTATAGCTTCGTCAGGCCTCAGACTCCATCCTTGTTATGGTTAGGGTTCCGAGGATTTATGCTTAGGATACAGGAAATTCTTTTCCTTCTGTTTTCTTATTTGGTCAGCTGGTTAATTAAATCCCAGCATAATTACATAAATCATTATGCTTATTCCACTAAGTAATTCAGCACATTCTTTTTCAGAGCTGTCAGAAAGCAGAAGCAAAGAAAAAGTAATAAGATGAAAATGGAGGCCACTAAAGAACAATCCATGAATCACACATCTGTTACAAGGAGGAAGAAAAGGAGAGAAAGAGCCCATCAATATCTCTGCTCTTAAATGTCCAGTGACTTGAGAATAAGAAAGATTTATAGTCCAACCTTTGATGCCATTTTCTGAAAGTGCCACACCGGACTTAAATTCTGTCGCTTTCAGAGGTATGCACCCTTCTAAGTCAAAACATAGGCAGGTGGTATTTGCTGGGTTTTGGGCCCCTCAGCGGCCTCTCTGGAGACCTGGGAAGTTGTTCCTTCCTTAGCTGGTTTACCAGACCTCTCTGTGCGCCTTTTTTCACGCTTTAAATCTTTCCCAGTCATATTATTTGGGCCTCTTTTGAAGGCCCAAATGGGCATATAACATTCTTTTGCAAAAAGTGTCAGGAGAGGAATGAAAGAGACTTGAGGTCTTGTTTACAGTGAACATGAGTGTGTTAAATTAGACACAGAAATGTTGTTAAGTCAAACATCAAAATATGGTATGATGGTTTAAACCCCACTTGCAAAGAAGAGTACAGTGAACAGTTATTTTTGGACAAAAACTGAAGATAATGGAAAGAATTTTGATGAAGGTAGTCTAAAGCTATAAAGAGTTTAATTATGGTTTTATGATTAAATATGGGTTTTTCAAGTACTTTTTACAGTGTTCTTTGATGGTATAGAATCACTTGAATGTTGTGGAATGAATGAGGCATTTAGAATTATGACTTGCTCTGTCATCTCAGTGTCTTTTAACCCAGGCAATAATCTTATTTTTTTTTTAATTTTTAAAAAACATTTATTCATTTTTGAGAGACAGAATGTGTTTGCGTGAGTGGGGGAGGGACAGAGAGAGAAGGAGACAGAGAATCTAAAGCAGGCTCCAGGATCCAAGCTGTGAGCACAGAGCTCGATGTGGGGGCTTGAACTCATGGACTGTGAGATCATGACCTGAGCAGAAGTCAGATGCTTAACTGACTGAGCCACCCAGGTTACCGAGTAATTTTATTTCTTTGTAAAAGTAGGAGCAGAAGGCAAGATAGTTTGGGGATTAAAACCTCTCATTCTAGTTCTGACAAACACTTCCTGACTGTGTGTCCTTGGCCAGGTCATTCACTTGTAGCTGGTTTCTTCATCATTATTATATAATTACTATATTATAGAATAATAGTTATACCACGGGCTGTTTTCCGTGATTATGTTAAATGAGGCACACGTGTCTGGCTCTCGTTCTGTTGGTGAGAAATGTTAACAAGTGCAGGTGGGTGAGTACGCAGCCCTCATGGTAATCATCCGGTGGCCCAGTATCAGCAGGGAAGGGACTGGGTTTGAACTCTGAGAACAAACAGTTCCTCTTCCTGTTTCTCTCTAGGTATCTGACAGGATCTCCTTAAATGGAATAGTTTTGAATGGCTTTCATTTGCATAATGACTTTTCTCTGGTTCCCAAACAGATGCTTTAGAGCAAGTTTGGAGGCGTGAGTGCCTGGGCTTAGCTAGAGCCCTGTGAGTGAAGGTACAAGGACTACACCCCACGTGGCGTGACAGTTCCTTCAGGGCTTTATGTTAGGGCCGCTTGATGCATGACCTGGAGGGCACAGGCGTGGGCCCTGATCCATGGGTGGGGGTATATACCTGGTCACATCAAAAGATGAGCTCAGCCCCCAGACCTCCCTTGTCCCCTTTTTCACATGGGTTGCTACGGTCATCAGAGGGGTGGATTTAGAGGTGACCGGGTGAGATACGAACCTTTTGCCGAAGCGCTCTGAGTGCTCCCCTTTCTGATTCTGCCATGGGCGTGAACATTGCTGGACGTTCACAGTGGCCCCGGATACCGTGGTAAAATCTCTGGAAATCTCGGAAACACAGGGAGGGACCTGAAGGACCATGATTCCTGAAGAACCAGGTCGTGCTGGCCGTTGGTTATTGTCATCACCCCATTTCCTGAGTTTTAAGGTACCATCAATTGTAAAATGCACTATTGATGTGATTGTAGCTTTTCAGGGGGAGAAACCCCATAGCTTATTAATTATGCATGTTAAATTTTAGGCATATCCTGTTTCAGAAGTATTGAAATGTGAGGAAAAAGCATGTCTTAGAATTGAGGAAATCGAGTATTACTTATAATCAGGAATTGTACTTTAAAACTTTAACTTCGTAGGAAGTTAAAAATAAGGAATTCGGTGATTCTGTTCTTATGTTCAATTAATACTAATTTTAAGGACTCACCGCTTCTTTTTTTTCTTAGGGAATAAACTAATAGTATGTAAAAATGTCTCTGGGAGGTAAAGTGTGATGGGAGATGAGGTCATTTGTTCTAATTAGAAATCTGCATATCTGAACATTAAGATACGTACCCAAATCACCAATAGAGGAAAATCCCTAAATCTGACACATAAAACTTAACTAAGCTTTTTAAAAGGATGTTTTTCTTAAATTATTACAGCCAAATTTCATTCTACTCCTTGCTTCTATTACAAAATTTAATGACATACAGAGTCACTTCGTAGGCTCTGAGTGATCGGATTTCAGGGTTTTTTCTTATATTGAGTTTGATATTTAGACTAATTTATTTCTCCAATCTGCCTCACTGTTTTCATCTCATTCCCTTTGCTCTGGTGGGACTATTTCCCTCCATAGGACCATCTGTGAAACTCTTACGGAGCCTTCAGGCCCTGGCCCAAGCCCCACTGTGTCCCGGGAAGTGCTCAGGGAGCCCCCACCAGCCTTCCTGTGTGAGCACTTGGAGTTCTGCGGCCACATCTGGGGCACTTTGCATGTAATATTCTGCGATGATATTTGCAGACTCTATTTCCCCAAAAGATTTTGGTTTCTTAATGTCAATACCCGTTGTATACCATCTTCAGTAGGTGCTCAGAAAATTTGATGAAAGTATGGAATTTTCTGGAAGTTTTCATATGGTAGGTGCATTACTTTGCTAAGGCTGCCATAACAAAATATCATAGACTGAGTGGCTTAAATGCCAATAATTTATTTTCTCACGGTTCTGGAGGCTGGAAGTCCAAGATCCAGGTGTTGGCAAGTTTGGGTTTCTGGTGCCTCTCTCCCGAGCTTACCTTCTCACTGCATCCTCCCGCGGCCTTTCTTCCATGCCTGTGAGTCCCTGGTTTCTTTTTGTGTCCAAATTTCCTCTTCTTATAAGGATACGAGTCAGATTGGACTAGGGCTCACTCTAGTGGTCTCATTTTACCTTAATGAGACCCTATCTCCAAATATAGTCCCATTCTGAAGTATTAGAATTTAGGGCTTCAACATACGGATTTAGAAGGTGTGATTCAGTCCCTAACGGTAGGCGTAAGATCTGGAGAGGGCTTGGTCTTCTCTCTCTCTTATAAGGACTCAAGGAAAACACACCAAAACAATATTGGGAAGTATTGAGAGTCAGTGGGAAGACTGTCCTAATACTGAGGGTTTAGATGGATGTTTCAGGCTGGGCTGTGCTATGTGAGCAAGACTGCCAGTGTTATCTAGAAGACTTTACATATAGAATAATTCAGCTTTCAAGGTTATTTTAAGGAAAACACTTAAGTTGGTATCTGGCTCCTTCAAAGTGATCTATAGAATAAGAGGCGTCTATGAAAAGTTTGACTAGCTTTCAAATATAAAATCATAGCCCACAAAAGGTCCTGGTCCGATGCTACCTCCTTTTCACGGCGTCCATGCTGGTGCCTCCAGTGGAATAGTGCATCTCTTGCCAGTGAAATAAAAATGTGCATGTTTATGTGTCATTTCATTTCTACTTGTTTTAAATTGTGCCCTGCATTAGATCAACTTTTTTGGACTTAACTTCCCCGGAACAGATTAGAAGCTTTGCTGGTGGCAGTGGCCTGCGGACACCACGGTGTGCATTCACTGGCTCCATCCCAGCGCTGTGCCCCACACCCAGCGATGTCAGAGACAACCAGCTGCTGCACGTGTGACAAAGCCTCCCCACACCCCTGGGAAGCGAGCAGCCAGGCTACACATTTCCTCCCCCACCAAGTGGTAGCTGCTCATGAATACGGATTGAGCGACTGGAAATGCCATGTAATACACTTACTGCTTGGTGCCTCAGAACCCTAACTGAGCTACTTGAGCAAGACACTAATACGCCTAGAGCTGCCTAGGTAAGGAAAGCTTGCACAAAATGCAAAGAAAATCCAATTTCACCTATTTGATGCAATTCTGATTGGAACATTAGGACATGGGATCAGTTACTCAAGGGTCAGCTAAGAAGGTCATTGCAATAAACTGAAGATAAGATCTCTACAATTTGATTTCAGGTGACTCAGTATAAATGTTCACTCAGCACGACTGAGGGGGGAAAGCACCCAAAGTGAGCAAGCAGATCTCGGAGCTCCGCGGGGGGAGTTTCATCCCGTTCGCGACAGTAACAAGATTCTCACACGCTTTAGCCGCTTCATAGCACTGCAGACTAGAAGCATCACATCTGGTGGGCTCTAAGAAGACTAAGCCTGAGAAGACGGACCAGTTTCTTCGCCTGTGACTGTAGGGGTGAGGAGTAGGGGAAGCCAGGGAAATCAGACAACATTTTATATGCTTCACGAAGACAAAAAGAGACAAAGGGCTTGCCTGTTAGCTTTACAGCTAATACATGAGCCAGGTAAATCCAAGAAATTGAAAAGAAGCATCTCCAATCCTGCCACCCAGAGACAACTACTGCCACGACGTCTGTGTCTGTTCTTCCAAAGATAGATTTTTGTATAAATAGCTACACAGACAGACTAAAGTTTCCCCCACGAAAATGGGAGTTGGGAATACACACTATTTTTGTAATCCTCTTTGTCATAAACATCTGAACATCAGTTTATATTTACAACAATACTATTATTCTTCAGTATGGATATAGTGTATTTTTTAAAATCAGTCTCTTATGGTTGGACATCAGAGTTGTTTATATTTTTTCACTCTTGTAAATAACCCTATGATAAACATATTTAATGACCAAATCTCTTGTCTTAGGATAAATTCCTATGCATACCCATACATACTTCTTTCTCCAGATGGGAATCACGAGGTGGCATCTGAATTTCTTTCATCGAGACAAGTAAGACGCCACAAATAATTGATACAATGCAGACTCCCTCTGCCAGGATGGACCATCTCCCAAATGCCTTTCATACTTAAAACTACCCTTTGCATATTTGTGCTTGATTGTCATATTGACGTGTTGTTGATCATTTTGGCGGCATCTTTCCCAGCCTCCTCATTGTGTGCCTGCCGCAGGGTTTGGGAGCAAGAGACTGACATCCTCTCCAGCTCTTCGGGAAGACTTTTTCTTGGGCATATTCCATACCCCTTATCTGAGAGTGATTTCAAATACTCCTGTGATGGGGTTGGTCTATCCACAGCAAAGCTCAGGACTTCAGTCTCGGAATGCAGAAGCATGTAGATTGCTGTTGGTGGCTTTCCAGTGACCATAGAGGGACCCAGCCTAATGATGATGTACACCCTAAGCTTTTCCCCGAGACACTAAGTTGCTGGATCTAGCCTGCCCTGAAGCTGGCCCTACTTCTGGTCTTGTAATTTACATGGGCCAATACTTTCTAGTTATTACTTATGCTACTTTGAGTCACTGTTTTTTGTAGCCTAATAAACGGAACCATGGAGGACAGAGAGAGACTAACGCCAATCCTACACATTTATCTTTCCAGTAAATTCAGTCAATTTCTTACTTTATATGTTTCACCTATTTTATGGCTTCAAAATAGACCTCTCAAAATAACAGTCACTCACATGGCCTAGTTTAGTCACATTCCACATATTTCTGTCTTCTGTTCCTCTGTACAGTGATTCCGACATATTTGCTCAGGCCCTGACTTTTCCCCTTCAACCTGCCGTTCCAGCTTCCTATTGGCCATGGCAGAGATTTTCCCGCTGGACCAACACCTGAACATAGTCTTCATTCGAGTGCTTTGCACTGGTCTGCTTGCCCTGCCTTCCCCTTCATACTTCTCTCATTACCTCTGCCCTAATCCAGTAATGGCCGTTTCTCTATCCCTGAGTCTGCATGTCCAAATATCCCAACCTTAGCCTTGACTAATCCCTCACTTTCATTCCCTCAATCTGATCACTAATCAGTTCTTATTCTACTTCAGAAATGCTCTGGAATTGCACCTCCCCCAACCCCAATACCTAGTCTTCCTGCCATCTTTACACCTCCGGTCCTTCTTTTCTAACTCATCATCACCCTGTCACAAGAATTAAGGTGTTGAGTAACCAGTGTACCAATATGATGCTGTCAACAATATGTCCCCCTCCAAATCTTTTGGCAGCTGCCTGGCCCTTCAAAATTCAACCCTATACCATTATAACATGTGGAAAGATGTCATCAGCATAAGCAAACCAAAGGGGTGCAGTGGTCAAATAAACAGACTAGCTACCAAAATGTTAACTCAAAAAACCTAGTTCTGGGCGCCTGGATGGCTCAGTCGGTTGGGCATCCGACTTCGGCTCAGGTCTTGATCTCACGGTCTGTGGTGGGTTCTAGCCCCATATTGGGCTCTGTGCTGACAGCTAGCTCAGCCTGGACCCTGCTTCAGATTCTGTGTCTCCCTCTCTCTCTGACCCTCCCCTGCTCGCTCGCTCGCTCTCTCTCAGAAATAAATAAAACATTAAAACAACAACAAAAAACTTAATTCTTAGATTTTTCCCCCATAAGCACTAGGAAGAGGATGTACAGAGCATGGAAATTCTTAGAGCATTTTCTCTTCCATTTCTCTCTGTCTCTCTCTGTCTCTCTGTCTCTCTCTCTCACACACACACTTCCCCCATCCCACCCCATACATTTCTATCTCCTTAAAAAGCACCTGGGCATTCTTCCCTTTTACTGTTGATTCTGTGCTGCAGAAGCACAAGCAAATCAAGTTGCCAAAGTAGTGTTTTCCTTAGAGAATGGGGAAGGCAAAGAAAAGGGGTGGATGGGCCCCAAATATCCTTGATGGGGCAGTGAGAAAAAGGCTGGAAATACTGTGGTAGTGGCTACTTCGTCCTGTGGCTACTTTGATGTCCAGTGCCCCGCACTCCCACCAGTGCACATGACATGCTATGGCCACATAAAATCGTTTGTGGTTTCCTGGCCACATCTGGAACTCCACACCTATACTGTTTCCTGTGCTGTAATACCTTCTGGGAAATTCTCTGAATGCTTCACAGTGTGCAGGTAGCCACCCTCCTTGGGCTGCTAGCACTGAGTGTCTACTCCATTCACAGTCCTTTTCGTGTGTCGTAGGAGGGGTCACAATCAGGATAACTTCAACTTTAATAAAATGAGCATTCAATTTTAAGAATGTTAAGTGGATAGATATTGCATCGTCCCCCCCCACCCCCACCCCCCGCCAGCCTCCAGATTATCCATCACTGCCACCCAGAGCATTAACACCTGAAAATGCATTTCATGAATAACAAAGGCAAGTCCATTCTCACCTTAGAAACGGCATCTCTAGAAGAATTTGGGGGTCATGCTAAACTGTTCGCAGCAAAGGCCAGGGAAAAAGCCTACCTCTGGGAGGGGGCAGGGTAAGCATCAGATGCCAGTTAAGAACAGTGCCACAAAATAGTGCCTCGAATCCGTGTTGCTGAGTGAACTACCTCTGTTAGTCTACCTCTGTTGCTTCCCAGGGGCTATATCCAGATAGGCGGCAAGAAGATAAGGCTTATTAAAGTTGAAGATTCTACCGCGTCTCTCTCCTATGAGCAAGTGAAAGGTAGATGGTTTTCTACCAGATTTTAAGTTCAAGAATCACAGGATGATCTGGTCACATTCTCTTCACCAGGGTCCTAACTTCTGTGAACTTTTTGAACATGCTGATCTTTAAATGTGTCCTGCGCAAAGTGGCATCTTACATGTTGGCCAAGCTGACCCGTTAAGCCTTTTAGGGAAGAGCCCGTGTGCCGTGCGTTTGTGTAGCCCAGATTCTTTCTCCTAGTAGATCCTCGGCTCTGAGGCCACAGCCCTCATTTATTAGGGTGGGGCTACTACTACCAATAAATTGTTGACGCTTAATGGGGTTATCAGGATATTCACTTACTCAGAGGTTTTGGAGCAGGGCCCTTCCACCTTAGCTGCAGATTGTGATCACCAATTTTAATAAATACTAGGTCGCATTTCGTATCGGTACTTTTTAAAAATTTTTAAAAATATTTACTATTGAAAAACAGCATGAGCAGTGGAGGGACAGAGAGATGGGGAGACACAGAATCCAAAGCAGGCTCGACGCTCTGAGCTGTCAGCACAGAGCCCCACGCGGGGCTGGAATTCACAAATTGAGATCATGAACTGAGCTGAAGTCGGACGCTTCACCTACTGAGCGACCCAGGCGCCCCGTATCAATTCTCTTTTAATTAATTGGTCTGGGGTGCTGCAGGGGCGGGGTTAAAAAAAAATCTCTCCTGGTGATTCTGAGACTGGGAACTACCCGTTTAGAGACTGTCAAGGGAGGCTCCAGCCGATCACGACCAAAAGTTTGCGTTCCTTTTCTTATGCCCGCAGTTTCTGAGGCCTCACTCCCAATTCCTTGCCCGCGCATCGACGCCGAGCAGCGAACTTCAGGGCAAACGGACCGGACCGGCGGCGCGCGCACACACGTGTGACCACGCCTCACCTACGAGCAGGCGTGCGGCCTCGGGGGCGCGCCCGCGCGCCCTCCGCCCGCGCCGCCTGGTCCTCTCGCGAGGAAGTCCGGGCGCCGGAAGTGCCCCGAGCGCGCGGCGGCGGGGCGGCGCGCAGGGGCGGGCGCGCGGAAGGTGGCGGGAGGGAGAAGGCGCCCGGTCCCCGTGGGCCGCTGAGTGGGGGTGTCGCGCACGTACTGCCGGGGTGGGAGCTCTCCGGGGAGAGCCGAGGGCAGGGCAGCTGCGGGAGGCCCCTGTTGGCCTCCGACTGGGGTGTCACTGCGGGGCCGCCCCCATGTTGCGCTTTCCGACCTGTTTCCCATCCTTCCGGGTGGTGGGAGAGAAGCAGCTGCCGCAGGAGATCATTTTCCTGGTCTGGTCACCCAAGCGGGATCTCATCGCTTTGGCCAACACGGCGGGCGAGGTGAGTGAGCCCGACCCGACAGCGAGCGCCTTGCAGACTGCACCAGCCTCAGTTTCCCGTTCTGTGGACTTGCTGGGCCGCCCGTGTACCACGCCCTTTCCAAGCAGCTGTAAACCTTAAGTGAAAGTATAAGGGCCCGTGTAAGGGAAAGATAATTGATGTGCCCGTTTTCCGTATTCCATGGCAAAAACAACAGTTTTCACACAGCACAGTCACACAGTCCTGCATTCCCGAGTCTCTTTGAGTCATTTATTTGTTAAATGGGCTTTTTTAAAAACCTGTAACGCATCACTCATGAACTAGACATAGTAGATCCACAGACCTTGCCCTAAATTTGCATAGGGTTTTGTAACAACAGAAGAGTAACTGTCATTCTGTAGCTGCAAATGTGCATGCATGTAGCTGCCACAGAGGTGGTGTTTAAAAATCTAGAATCTGTTGTCCAGGCTCTGTACTCTGGTCTGGATGGCTACCTCCTGTTAAAAATACCTTTAAGTTGAGCAAGAGAGTGGACTGTCCCTGTGTGTCCTCAAGTTGGCATTTCTCGTTCGTAGCACGTTAGAGTTTATCAGGTCTAAACCCGCTGTATCTACCTTTCTCCCGAGAGTTTTTAATTACCTGGCAGCCATTTTGTAAGGAAACCTTCAGCTGTGCATCTTTCCTCCTTTGGCCTTTGGGCAGGTTTCCTGATAGTTCCCTGGCCAGGAGAGAGTTGTGCTGTGTGCATACACACTTGGAAACTAGGTG